ACTCAGCGACTAGGAAAGTATAGATATCGATCTAGCGTCTGCATGTCTGTCAGCGTCTGCAGCTTCCCCAGCGTTCACCAGCGACCAGTGGTAGAGAGTGTAATGAAGTAGGACGGTAGCAAACAGCTGGATTAGGCGTCGCGGATTTGCGGCGTACACCGCACAACTGCTAAAGTACAGAATATGCAAGTTAATGTACGGTGCACTGTAGCTATACGGTGCGAATGCACACGCTGCTATTTCACGAGGCTTAATCCAGCTGTTTGCTACCCTCGTATTTCCCCATGCTCTCTAGCTGGTGAACGCTGGCAGACGCTAGTAGACTCTGGGGGACACTGCCGCAAAGTATAAACACAGTCGTAAGGAGGAAGTGGACTAAACTGATAGATACATTGCGGACGAAGAAATGAAGCAACGGACATGAAATGACTAGTGAAGGAATCAGCCATAGATGAGTGGCGGTCATGCGAAGCCGAAAAAGTGTATAGAGCGGCTCGCGAGCCACCCGAACTGTAGTCTGGTAAAAAAAGGACGGACGGCTGTGGAGGAAGAGGCAAAAATGAAAGAAAAAAGAGATGTACATTCGAAGCCGTTTCTCAGCTGCGTTCAGCACTTGGGCACGGAAATTTCCTCGGAGGGTGACAAATCTGTAGCGAAATTCCCTGGCAGTTCCATTCCCAGGACTATATATGGACTATCTGACTCATAGGAAAAAATAATTTAGCTCTCATTTCTCTACGACCTTCTTCTATACCTTGCATGTTACTGTTACTTGTCCTCGATGCAGCCTTCTCTGCAAACATTCTTTCATCACTTCTACAATTAATCAACAAACGATGCGCCCGCTACGTAACTGTAATCCTGTTAGTTTCCCCTGATCTGTCACGGCAGATTTACAACTGTACATGGAAACAAGTTTGGTGGACTCGGTCAACCTGATTTCTTGTGCTTTCAACACACGTCACCTTCTCTGCCTTATTAACGGCTGAAATCCATTGCAATTTTATCATTACTTTTCAATTGTATATTGTTCATTTTGCGTTTGGTAGCTTGTTTTGCTTGCACGTTGCAGTGGTCGCATATTAACTCCAACATTCATCTCATGTTTGCAGGAAATCTGGAGGATGCTATAACAGTTGGTAGCTTTAGAGTGTTCTTGAGGATGAATTGGATTTACGCCTGTGCGAGCGGGAGTTTCTAGACCATCTAGGGCAGTACTCTGCCAGTACGGCGGGTTTGTCCGTTCTCGTGTTTTAAAGACATAAGGCACGATAATTTGGTTCTCTGTCCAGTATGGTAGCAGGGGTACTGAATAGTGGGGAAATGGTGAAGCGAAGGACGACGGTCAAAACCCTGCAAAAAAATGCTTTTGTTCTAGACTACTCAGCAAGCTTTCAGACGATTTTTCCGCTGGCATCGGGCCAATAATCGCTACGGTAGACACGGATGCATGTCCGTAGTCATATTTCCATGCCGCGCCTCAGCCGCATCATATCAATCCCTTCGCTTCATATTGAAATTCGCAAATGAAGCGATACGAGCATCAGCATAGGTCGGACCTTTGTAGGAGGGCGGTCGCGGTGGGCTTCCGAGGCGGTATGTTGCAGCTTGATAGAGCGCTCAAAGGTACATTTTTTGGTAAAGGCCCCACGTGGTGCAGGAGCATCTATCCTATACGTGTTGGGGATTTATTGTGCCACTTGCACTTAGCCTACCAACAGCCGATCAAACGAAAATCGATGATTTTGGCACTTCTTTTCTGGTCACGGCGGCCATTTCCGGGAGGGCGGTTTTCGAGGGAGGAGCGCTCAGGAAGTTGAGTTTCGCCAAATCGCCTGCGCGCCTTTCGCTACGAAGCGCCAAAAGCAGCGTCCGCTCAGAAGCCCAGTAACCTTCCCTAATAGACATGCTCACCCCGATCACCTACCCAAATTATCGTGCCCACTGCTGAAGCAAGTGGTGCTAATTAATGATGGCTATTGATGGTCGTTGCTATAGAGTGTCAAGCCTAGCACTCACTTTTCTATCCTCTTTTTCTCCCTTTAATGGGGAGGTAAAGTTGCAGAAACCGCTTGAAAGCTTAGTAAATGGTATGACTAATAAGCAACGCTTCTCACGGTTCGCGCGGCTAAAAACTGGTTCAAGCAACTGAAAGATGACAGTTTCGACCGCGCCCTATGCATCACCCATGACCAACAGAAATCAAGCAAACGGGATAAGCAACATACAAAACAAATGCACCGTTTTATTGAGTATAATACTTTCCATCTATTATGGAACACAGCCAACCGTGTAGCTTATTAGATAGCCAGTTTTTTTTTCATCTGTCTCATGGTATTCACGAAAAACTGCATGAGTTGCAAGTCATTTTAAAACAGCTACAGTAGAAACCTCGTAGCTGGCCTCTATAGAACGACTGATGCACTTGTTCATTCAAGCTTATGGAACGGGCTTACATGTTCTATTGTTGACAAATTCTCAACAAGGAAAGGAGTGGAGCCATTCCTATACATCAAGAAGAAGGTTAAAATCGCTAATCAAAATATATTCTGGGAAAATTCACAAATAAGGCTGGAATAGTGCTTGGAAGCTGAAACTTCAAAGGAGAGCTTGCACACTATCGCCATGAAAAAGCAATGCCAGCAGGACAAAGACGCTCTTCACTTTTTCTTACAAGAGACGAAATGTCTCAGACAGCGCGCTGTATTCGCTAGCCGTACTACCTGTCCAGCCATGCGATCAACTAGGGTTTCGGGGAGGATTTCGAACTGTAGGTCATATAGATACGGCAACGAAGTGGTCGAAGGGCAAGTACGAGTATGAACCGCTATTTTTGGGGTTTATCAGCTTGAAGAAATTCTGCGACAAGTTCGATTGAAGTTAGCGGCTACGCCCTCCCATTTATGGGACATGGAGGAAACCAGTGATCGTTCCTCTTTTCACACTATTGTACTATCTGTCAGCTCTGCACTCTATGTCATTGCTTAACATAGAATTCCGTCCATATTTTTGTTATTTGTCCTATTTCGATGTTGTTCTTTTCACTACTGACGAGCAAAAGCTGAAATAAGCTTTCTTAATGGCATCCGTTCCAAAGCACATGCGAAATGGAAGCTGCGTCACATCTTTGTTTTCTACCCCATAAGTAACGAGAGCTAATCTCTGATATTAAGGAATAGTGGTATTTGGTATGAGTAACGCCCTCGTGGCTTGTCTGCTTCCAACTGATGGAGAACGGGGTTGGCGCCGCTAGAATCCAGCTTTCCCCGGCCCCTGACACGCCCCAGCGTCTGCAGCGAAACGGACTGTATATTTTTGACCGCTATTTGTATTCACACTGCATCTCATTAAGTTCCCACCAAGTCTGCAACTAACTGGTCGATTTGTTCTACTTTACAACTCTAGTTATTTATGGTTCCTCCGTACTTTGGTGAATGGTCCCGTAGCCCGCTAATAAGCGAGAGTGCACTGAATCTATCGCCTACAAGCTGGATGACTGATACTGGTACTAATGGTCGGTGACTTATGAGTGATTGTCGACAAACAACCAGACGAGAACGGGTCATGATTGTGAAACCACTACTAACTCTTCTACTACTTCGTCGCACGACAGCACGAGTCTGACACTTCTGAGACACAGAGATGTTGGCCGCCGTAGTCGCCATCATTAGAGCTGACGTCGTTTTAGTGGCTAGTTACTCTTTATCAAATCACTCAGATTCTCCTATCTGTTCTCTCTCTTTTGCGTGCTTCCTGTCACCTTCATTCACTCACCGTCTTGGGAGAGTGTTACAGTGGTCGTTCCGCGCTTGCACTGATTTCATTTCCAGGTTTTTTCTATGGCTAGTGGATCCTTGGAGAATTTCTGAACGGCTTTCTCTAATTGTTGTGGGTACATTCCATAGTTGTGTGTGTAACATTTCGTGTGGTGTGTCTGTGTGTCGAGCCCCATCACTTCTCTTGAAACGAGTTTTTGTCTTGCCTTTAACCGCATTTTTGAGGCTGTCTTTTCGATTGACAGATATACGAATTACAACGGGACGTCAACCTGTTCATAGTGATTTGTCTCAATGTTGAACTTCTTTCTTTTCCCACATCACTACAGCTGCTAAGCCTAATTGTGTTCACATGGGCAAAATGTACTCTCGAGGCTAAAAAAACACCCCCGCTAGCGTCACTAGCCCAACGTTTTTACTGCAACGTTAGCGAGTGACCAGCGATTTCCTACCGCGTTTTAGCTCATTTTAGCCCCGTTCGTTCTACAAGTTCTGGTATTTAATGGTTTCAGACTGTCACTCTCCTATACAATGCATTAGAACCTATAAACAGAGAACGTCCGCTCTGGTTTCCCCAGCGAGGAGGTCCGATTTGGTCCTTAGAGGAAGGGGGGGGAGGGGCGTATTTGCTTTTGAATATTTCACCGTTTTTTCGCTTGCTCCTCCATCCCCGCTCAACGGCACTTGTAAAGCGAATAAAAAAAATTTTGAAAAAAGCCTCCATAAAAATGGCAAGGTAGAATGCAGGGAATGTTTAGGAATTCAAAAAGACGTTAGGTATTAATTTGTTCATGGGTTTATCTTGTTTTACCTTGTGGGGTGTGCGAGCTCTGAGCGGGATTGGAATACCTGCCAGGGTAGGGGTAGGGTAGGTATTATGGGAGGAGAAAAGGGGTATTGTACCAGCGGAGGTGATTTTGTGGGAAAGTGTCGAACTTTCCCAATGTTAGGACCTGGCCAATAGATCCGTTCTTATACATTCTTCACTTAGAACCTATGTTTTCTTTACAGCTTTACTACTTCTTAATTCTTTACATCTTACTTCTTAGTTTTTCTTAGCTTTACTACTCCTTGTAGCAGAACCGCTTTAGTTTTTCTACTTTTCTGGCGCTTTGCATTGATCATCTTGCCAGATCCTTCGAAATATTGATATTTCAACCGCATGTGTATTGTTCATAGTGTACTGTATCGTTCTCATGTCGCTAGCATTAGGTTTTTCTAAGGATGACTGCTAAAAAGGATGGGAAGAAGAAAGATCCTCCGAATGAAGACCTCCCGCCACCCAAAAAGAATGTAGTTTATCCTATCGAAGAACTCTATGTGGATGATCCAAAAAAGAACGCTAAAGGTACACTCTTCTAACGTTATTGTACTACCAATTGTACTTGTTGTATTGCGGTTTAGCTTATGAAGTTAATTCTGAGAATAAAGAAGTGGTTGAGACCGAGAAAAAGGATACCAAAAAGCAAGCCGGCATCATCTCGTCATATGGGGTTCTATACGGTTTTGCTGACCGAACTGATGTGCAGGTTTGTCCTCCATGTGATTATCGCTGTTCTTCACAAGGTACACAATCTGAATGGGTGGAACAGCGGGGGCCACTTCAACTCCCGGGCGCAGTTCGGCTTGGGAGGACGGAGGGGGGGGGGGATTCTGCACTTTCGCTACTTTCCATCGTCGTGAACATTGTTTTACAGGAGCTGACAAGCATTTCTTCAATAGTTGACAAGTGATTGGCAAGTATTCATGCATAGCTTCACAATCCCACAGACCTTTACTTAATCACCCGACACGACGATGGAAAGTAGCGAAAGCGCAGTGTCCACCCTCCCAGCTGAACTCCCCAAACCCCATATTACTTCTAGAGGGACCCCCACGAAATATTCTTGTGTTCCAACACGGATTGCCCAAAATTATGCAGTCGATGTAGGAGGGGAGGGAGTGAGACGCCTCAGCCCAACGATGAGGTGCAGCCGTTGTGCATCAGTAGAACTTTTCTCGAAAAAAATGGTTTTTCCAGGGAAGTTCTCCCGATTTCTCCCAACAAAAGTTTGGCATAGTAATCGTGTAACCCGGCAATGAGCGTAGGTCGTAAAAGGTCGGAACGCAGGGAAAGGACTTCTCCGTATGTAAAGTTCCTTTTCGTCTCCTAATTACGGGCGCTAACGGTACTGTACTTTTCTTACTCCAGACAGTAATCGATCCGATTGAATGGAAATGGGTAGTTCAACGAGTGTGATCCCTTCAAATTTGTTTATTACGACTAGAATCGTACAATTTCAATGAAAATATACTTCCTACTGGAGAAAATGACGTATTGTACTGAGATAAAGCTCCAAATATTTTCATTCAGCTCATGTCAGTTGGCCTCATATGTGCTTTACTGCAGTCAGCAATTCCACCATTTGTTTGGCTTGTTATGGGAAGTTTCGTCTCGTTCTCCATAACTCGGGAGGTAATCTCATTCTTTCCTGTACTTGGCTGCAGGCCAACAGCAGCAACCGTTCAGCATCTGACATTATTACTATATGGTGAAATAACGGTGAAATATGTTTCGTTTTCAATTCGCGTATTACAATTGTTTTATAGACATCCTTCTGACGACGCATTAGTGCATTCATTGCGCTCGTCCTTCTCAAACCCTTTCATCCCGCCCGCCCATATTTGCAACGTTAACCTTGATCCGATCGCTAATTTAGCGGGGTTGCAATCGGCATGAAATGAAATGGAATAGACAGCCAAATGTCTGCAAAACCATGGCTGAGCAGAGCGTAGGAACTGTTGAAAACTCTTTGGAGCAGCTTCTTCTGAGGTGCAAATTGATCCTGAAATTGATCTTTCTTAATCAGATTCATAGTTCCATCGATAGAAGCTCTTTCTGCAATTTCAGGTTGGATACAGTAGGCCAGCAAAGGATGCTGGATCTGACACAGCTTTCGTTTTAGTCTAGGAGGATGCGTTCTCTGCTTAGTGTGGAACTTAAATACTTTTCAAAATTTCCTGGTGCTTTGCTGGTGGAATTTCTACTAAGCTTAGTATTTTTTATTGTTTAACTAACTATATCGCTTTCGGTCCACTGAATAGGTCAAGGGGTATACATACATATTTCGAAAGAATTAATTGACAGTTAGTTTTTCATGTCTGAATTTTTCAACACCCTCTTCACAGCTCTCAACTTTACCTACCCACATTTTCTGAGCGGTTTTCTTGGATTGTTATCTAAGCTGACGGAGGCGTGGAAAGTATTACCCAGGAAGTATGTTGGACGCCCTCCAGAGATCAGATGTGGAAAGGGCGTAGCTGCGAACTTCTTTCAGGCATAGCGTAGGAGGATATTTCCATTTGAAAGGCGAAGGTGGCGGAGGTTTCATTTCCATTCGAAGAGGCGGGGGCGATGTGATCCCCGCAAGTCATTGTGTGGGCCACATCGCATTCAGTAGGTAACTACGATTCTGAATGGAAGAAGAATGCGTGTCGCATCCCAAAAAGGGTTTGATCAACGGCAATAACATTGCCTTTTGTTGCATTTGAAACTGTCTACCATACTGTCTTGCGCTGGACAAAGTCATGATTACATTTGTCCCCCAAGGGAAATGTCCTTTCAAAAGCGCTGCTGCCGTCATGTTCAAGCGAAGTAAGCGGCCACGCTCTACACGTGTTCGGGATATGGAATGTAGATACACTCCTTAATTCTAAGACAGAGTGGCCTGGCAGAATCCCACCCGCCACCACCACGTTCAGTGGAAGTATGCAGCCACGCCTACCCTATACCAGGGATTTCGAGTAACTCAACAGCACAGCTTCATCGAAATGTTCAACGTTTTTGTTACATTGCACCAAATAATGCTGTTCGCTATATATTTCACACTGTTCTATATATCTCTCACATACCAAAAGTGGAGAAGGCGTGGCTGCCTTCAGTTGGGTGTGCTGTGTGCAATTCATATCATCTTTGTCGAGGTTAAGACAGGCTCACACTTTTTTGGAATCTAACTATCTCACGAAAAAGGCACCTACGTTCCGTTCAAATGAGTTACGAAGCCACGCCCTCTCCATCCTGAAAATATGAAGTGTAGCTCTTGGCTTGGATCCTGATGATGCAATAAGTTGTTGGAAAGAAGGGTCAAAACCCGTACTCTATACATGAAAAACTTCAACCCCATTTTACAGAAACCGGATTTTTTTCTTTCCAAAATGTTTTATGAACTGCTCTTGCCATTGTTCCACATGTGCACATGCCGCATAAAATTGTGTGGTTTGGATCCTGGAGCCCGAGTTAACCAGGCCGTTTGTCCATCAGGGACCGGCGATTTGGACCAATGTCGCTTGGACATTCAAAAAACACTGACAGGTTCATCGACTGTACTCGAATTATGTAGGCCAAGTCGCATTTAAACATTGCAACGATTTCTAGATGAAGGTGAATGCATGGCTTGACCCAGAAAGGTTTGCTGAACAGCGGAATACTTTTTGTGGTTCAGAATCAGCGAACCACAAAAACACACTGATAGAGTTTGCTCTACATGTGAGGTTTTTTTGTCAGCAAATTTTGTGCCCGAAATTTTAGTTTTTTATACGCTATTGAGGTGTAAGGTCTCTGATCTGATGTTTTGCCTAGGGGGTAGAGTCCTCATCATTGCAGACCGGTGGGGCGTGTCAGCCAGAAGGAGCGCGCACATTGTTGGAGCCGTTCTAAGCCTTTTTCGTTGCAACGCGTATGCTAAAAAAAAGTGGTAGAAAACGAGTAATACGAAGGAATAATACAGTAATGCACTTGCCCGCTTCAAAACCTGGTGCAGAACGATTTTGCCGAACCGCACCAAACGCAGCCGCAGTTCCACACCCCACCGGTCCGCAATGATGAGGACTGTGAGTAACAGGCGAAACAGACCAGCTGTGCTTTATCGTTTGAGTTTTTGTTTCCCATTGTTTTGGTTTTTCTATTTCTAATTGCACCATACAGAATATTGTATTTCTACAGTTCCCACCTGTAAAGCTACTAAAACTCGGTTTCTCAGGAGGAACGGTTGTATAATACCTCGGGTGCTGCTAATGGTTCGAAATTCGATGAGGATTTTGCAGCATCGGCAACACCAGCCTTTATTATAATGGTAGCATTGTCAATCGGCATGTTCTTCGCTGCATTTATTCAGGTGATTTTGTTACATTTCTTAATTCGTATGTTTCGCGGTTCTTGATGCTATTCTAGAAAAGTTCGCTTTGCCTTTATCAATTTTCACTCTTATTTAGCCATGATAACTGTTTTGAAGGCACGGTCCACGATAGAAACCCCAGGTGATTTTGCAGAAAATTTACCTGGTGAACCGTCCATGAAGAGAAAATGCCAATGAGAGCGTTGGAAACCCATACCCTATGACTCTACAAAAGACACTGAATGCACCCCATTATGATACTTGCCCGGGAGCATTACTTTTGGCTGCAAGGCCGACTTTGTAGGCGAGGTCTGGAGGCGGAGTCACTGAAAAAAGGGATGTACTACTGAAGCAACTTTGCGGCTTAATCCCTTTACCGTACAACTTTCCGCCGCGAAACTGGCAGGGTTGTCCACTCCGGAGCGCATTACCCTCCCACATAGCCTCTTGCATTTTCATAGGTCATCGCGGACCGCTCCTGCTGCAGTCGGCGTCCTGAAAATTGTCGTAAAAATGGTCAGATAAGTGCAACAGCCAGACCCTAGGCGAGACTCAATCATGCACCTCACGTTTTCAGCATCTGTTGAACTATCAAAGCCACTCTCACACTTTCTCCACCAGCTCGTGGGCTTTGTGCCATAGCCTTACAGCACTTATCATCTACGGCTACGGCTCATCACATTAAATGTGTGGGTGCTACAAGGCTATGGCAGAGCAGCGAGTGGGCTGGAGAGGAGTGTAAGAGGTATTCCGGCAATAGTGCACTCTTTCAAGAGACCTAAGGAGCTGTTTCGATCCTTGGGGTCGAAAATTGCGCCTACAAGTCAGTATTCTTGAGTGAACTTCTGATTTTTGGAGTCCAGACGGAAGAGAGGCAGAGACCTATGCACAACAAAGGATTATCGTTAAGGAAACACTGTCGCCGTACACTCCGCATTGTCATCAGATATGCACGCTGCAGGATTCTCCCAGATTCCCACCTATGGGGGGGGGTCGTATCCTGTCGGTGTAGGGGCGTCGTATTTGCCTTTGGAAAAGATGTCGCCGATTGTTAATGTTTCTCGGTTTTTTTTCTATTGTAACTGGGCTTTATGACCGTACGCTGGATGAGGTAATTTCGACGAGGGGGGGGGGCTCCTAATCTGGGGTATTTCCCCAACGGCAGGACATGCCCTGATCTCCCTCTCGCTGACACGTTTTTCGCCAATAAAAATTTTTTGATAATTCGAGCCACTGATTTTGTACGGATAAGAAATCCCTATTGGAGTATGCTGTAAATCTTTTACAGAGGCTGGCATGGGAAGTTTCTGCAATTCGACAAGTATTCCGTGTGAGGCGAACTTATGTACGTAAAGTGCTTCATATGGATGTCGCATGGTTGGAGAATCGTCAAAGTGGTCAAATGGCGACCATGCTTCAGGAGTAAGAACTCTTACTAGTATCATAAGAACATCCAGGTCAAACAATTCATCTCCATCTTTGATCTAACCTCCTTCTTTCTGTTTGATTGTTTGTGATTAAGGAACTAGTATTGCCCGCATACAATCGATATCATAACAGCGACTGAAAAGATACTCTTTTGTAGTTCAAGTTTTTATGAAGCAATGATTAGGTGCTGATGGAAATCGGAAGCCTACTACGCAAATCCCGCGAAGGACTGTCAGAATCTGTCCTCAGTCTACTTGTCTACCAGAAATGGCCGATGTTTGACCATTCCAAACGAACCAGACTCGTTACTTTCACTTAACTCGTACATGTGTCAACATCTTTAATCGCATCATGAGCGCTAAAACGCCGACAAGGTGCCCTTACGTCATTCTTAACTTGTGTTTTGAATGATGAAAAACTTCAGACAATCACGTAATACAAACAGGCGCTTGATCTTCAACTACTGGTTATTTTCCTGTAGAGTGCAGTAAGGACGAAGAGCACCGAAAAATAATATTCTTAGTGAAAAGTCACGAATGGCTCTCAGCCTGGGGGCACCGTACTGAGATATGCTCGAATCGTTTCTAATTTTATTATTTTATGGCTAATAAAGGATTGCTCGGAAAGTGAGTGATAGGAAAACTTTTTGACTTCCTCCACTAACCAACGGAGGTCAGCAGGTCAGCTCGACCATTTTCCATGTGGAGCCCACTGATTTACGCGTCTTGGCTTGCTGAGCACAAACTTCGGGCGAAATATGGGCAACGATTCTCTGATCGGAGTTATTGAGAGTTTTTCCCTACGTGGTTGTTTTACGCAAGAAAAGCATTGTAGAAATTTCCGAGCTTCTTCCGCAAGAGACTTGGGCTCTGAAATTGTGGCAAACCAAATGATACACCGTATCCTTCTCATACGAAATTATTTCCTAATCATCTGGGTGAATTTCCAGCAGAGAAATAAATTCAAAAAGAAGCCAAGAATGCTTCGTCGTTTCTAAATCTTAAAATATCTATTTCAATTGAAATAGAAAATTGTCCCATGATGACAAAAGCATACACTTTTATGCAGTTTCCATCTTTTATAAATTCATTTCTCATAGAATAAAATTTCTATGTATTCATTTTCCATAAATTTGGCATCCATAGCAAAATAGAGTTTCTGAAAATCTTTAGATTCAAGGTTAGGGAGTCCAGATTTCAACAACCTTTCCACCGACCTAACGTATATCATTGTAATTTATGATCAGCCATGCTCTCCGTTACTTGTTTCAACACTTCAGTACGTTCTCAATGCCCTTTGCCGAAATTCCACTGGAAGCTATCCGAGAATCTCTCTGGGCCGATAATCTGTAGCCTGGCTCCGCAGTTCATTTTCGCATTATGTTTGTGACATACTAGTGGGAAATATCACCTTACAAGACGTTCGTTTTATGTTCGGGTAACGACTACGAGGAATGACATCTAAGTTCACAAGATGGACATCGTGAACTAAAGCTGTCACTGTAATGCCAGTTGGTGGCAGCTACAGTGACTTGTATTTGCGGAATTTCGTCAACAGCAGTGCGATATTTTTAGTTCATGCAATACAGGTTTTGCCTCAGGCATGTTAACATTGTGAAGTGCTGTCAGTTGAGTACAGCACAGCAAAGCAAAAATGACTAGTGCTAGTCCAGCTAACCTTGTCGGACTCGTTCAGCTGATGACGAGTTCCTGTAGTTTGTCGGTACCTGGGGGTCACGATTCGCCATTCCGGCGAGATTTCGCTGGAACAGCCGTGAGAATTTTTTTTGGGAAGCGGCTTTTTTCCCCAATCTTGCGCTAAGTGCCCACCACTCGTATATTGCAAACAATAAACTCTATTACATGCCCCGCCCCCAGATAACTCCGCCCCTTTTGCCGCGACACAGTTTCTACTCACACTAAACATAATTATGAGAAAACTCCCTCTCTGAATCAGGTGATACCAGCTTGTTTTACGACACGCATTATCTTCATATTTATGGCCACATACGCTTTCCACGTGGCATAGGCATTCATCGAAATAGGAAACCCCTGAGATGGCTTCACTTCCGAAAGTAGAGCTGTTACTGCACTGTAGGGGGGGGGAGTGGGGAGGGGTCCCTAAGGTATAGAGTTTTGAAACGAGTTGCTGCATGTTTCAGGGGTCCATGAGTGGGCCACAAGTGTAGCTCACTTCTGAGAAGCGCAAGAAAGTGTTAACAATGGGATAATGGTTCTAATCCCCATGTGACAGGCTTCATCCCTGCAGTTTCTATATTCCTATTTCAATATAGGTCGGAACCTTTCATCTGACAATAAGGGAAACATGTTCAAATAGCCCGAATCTTTGGTTTAAAAATTGAAGAGCATTTCTATCGCTGAGTTCGTGGAGAACTCGTATTAGTTCTTCTGTCCTTTTTGGCATTACCAGAGACGCGCAGCGAAAATGAACTACTTCTGTGGTTCATGGTGAGCCCCTACAACATGCATCGAACCATTTTCGAAACGGGCTTCACGACCTGAAAGACTCCCTTGTCGTTTAGTCCTCTATTCTACTGCGAGAAGTTGGCGAGATATTCAAAAATCAGAGTACATCCTGAGAGCATTTTGAATGAAAGGAATACCTTTTTTCTACGGGCGAATTCTTTTTCTCCTGGTTTCTGAACTAACCGGCCGAAATGTTTCACTAAATTGTTTTTCTCCTCCAAAGTGCTTATCAGGCCTTTGTGACCGCGGAAATACGATATGCATAAAAGGTAAGCAGTGGATGGTCGAGCAGGCCTTTCAAGGTTCCACGTGATTAGCTTCTTGATCTGTTATCCGCCCCTCTTTCTGATGATTTTTATGTGTTGATACATGGCAACTCGACAACATGGTTCTGAAGTGAAATCTGTACCGGATTGAACTTAAAAGCAGTTGACGCGATAAATCCCTGAGACGCATTTTCCCCCACTGTCTGTATAGCACCCTTCTAGCATTTTGGACCGAGTACCAAATTATTGTGTCATATGCTTTCAAAAGTAATGGTACAGAGGGGGCAATCGAAGAACAGAAATTCGGATCAAACAACGAGAAGGGAAGGCCAAATGGGAGTGAAGTTTGAAAGAGCATTTCAAAATAGCTGGAAGAAACGAAATTATGACACTTCGATAGAAAACTTGGAAGTTGGATAGCATTGCCCATTATTCGGCTCTCCTAAAGTGTCAAGAGTACGGATCCGACCTGAATTCGAACTCCATTTTTATTTATTTTCACTTTTTTTTCCTTGTTTCATTGTCATCCAAAATGAAATCAGAGCATTTGAATTTGATATTGAATCCCAGATTGGCAAGGTTTGAACCTACTCAATGTCCTATATAAGATTTCCTTCACATACAGCCTCATTTTTTGTCATCTGCTGCGAACTTCTGTTATCCATTTCCTCATTAGCTCTTCGATCATTCAACCTTTGCTGTTTCTCTGATCACACGCGCTGAAAATTCGTTATCGGAATCTTTACAGGAAGCTTTATAAGGGCTGGTTTCAACCTACAGCGTTCCGTTTTTGTACAGGGAAAACCTGAGAGAGTTCAGAATTATTTGATTAGTAATGTAGCAGGGCTGAGGCGGTGTAGTGGCAAGAGGCGCCGTTTCTCATGCGCACTGTCTAGAGGTCCAACCATCCTTCCGGGGCTGGTCATCTGGTACCAAACTCGTCTGGGGCATGAAATCACTGACTTGAACATCGGCTGGCTCCCGCGAATCATGATTGGGACCAGCTTGCATTCGAAGGCGACTACGAATTTGGAAAGTTCTAGCTCTCTCTAAGCTTGTTTAATCTATGAAAACAAATTGTTTAATCTACGAAAACAAAATTCACATTTCCAACCTGAAAAACTCCGACGAACATACTGAAATGTGGGCGATTTCGGCTTGTTCCTAGTTTTTTTCCACTAATTTATGCAGAGATCGCAGGCAGGAGCATGGCATCTCTCTTGGTCAAGCCATCCAGCAACACTGGCTTTTTGCTGTGCGTCGCGATCATTAATGTAATGCCAAGGCCTATTCTCACTGTGAATAGAAACCTATTAATAATACTCCATTTGTTACGTAAATTTCTCACATAAATAGTGCAGAAGAACCTTTCTAGAATTTTGTTTCAAAAAAGTCGGAACTTGTCGCATTCGGTAGTTCGTTAACCCAATAGCACTGTCAGGATGTAGTGATTTGTGAATTCAGTAGACCAGAGCTGTACTGCAGTGTCAGAGTAACTTTCAGTCATATTGTATGCCTCTACGGTTAGATATAGTGCTCGGGGTGATGCTGAGTTGACGTCTCGTGAAATTTGCAGGACTCCCGTTCGCACGTGCTATCATAAGGCCGCGCCGACTTATTAGGGTGTCCACAAAGTTCGTTGGCCATTTGTAAACAGCGTCGCGTTAAGCAACGCGTTGTGATTTTGCATAAAGATTTCGCAATACTGAAAGTACTCGCGATGGGCTATCTTCTGAGCTAGCTAGCTCTAAATTTCCTTTCCTGCTCTTCCCACAATAAAGCAGTGAAGATGAGTGATAGTCACCACCACCGCCGATGTTTGCTGGACTACTACAACCTGGGCATCTCCAGACGTCAGGCCACGACCAGGATGCGTCAGCAGTTTGGTAATAACACCCCTTCTAAGAACTGGATGTCAAAATGGTGGACTCGCCTCACCAATGAAAACTATGGTATCGAAGATATGCCGAGGTTCTGGTTCTCTCGGCACGGCGTCCGTCCACTATAGCATCCTACCCAACAATGCCACAGTGACGGCAGAGACCCTCTCTAAAGAATTGCAGGAGGTCAAGGTGAAAGCTGCCGCCTTGTCCCAGAAACTTGCAAATCCGTGTTGCTCTGAGACAACGCGCGCCCCCACAAAGCGAGAGTTACTCAGCGTCCTGGACAGGCAGGGCATCAAGACGATCACGCATCCACCGTATAGCCCGGACATTAGTCCATGCGATTACCACATCTTCCGGTCCATGCAAATTTCTTGGACGGAAAACAGCTGAAGAACGAGCGCGACCTCGAGGACGTGATCGAGGACTGGGCCGAGTTGCGGCGCGGCCGGCTTCTGAGAGGATGGAGTTGCCTCTCTACCCGATCGTTGGCGAAAGGTAGTGGGTATGCATGGAGATTATATCATGGACCGGTAAGTTCAACTTGGTGAGATATCTTTACCAGCTCTGAAAAAACGAATGGCCAACGAACTTTGTGGACACCCTAATATCTACGAGACCTTAACTTTCCCAAGTTCCAAAACATTCTCATTCCAAGATATACCTCTTCGAAATCATAGAATGCTAGCATTATTTGTTTTACTTACCACTTTGATAATGACTTATTCATGAGTTCTTGGTAAATTTCCAGATATGCAGATACAATCTATAATGGAATCTCAGACAACATACCGATGGTCCTGTTTATTTCCGCATATCTTGTAGTTAACATAGGTAAGAGCTCCTTAATGTCCCCCAGATAACTGCTTTAGGTAAAATGTGAGAAGCGTAAGTTGTGCTGTTGTCACAGTGTAGTCCGTAGGAATTCCAATAAGAGTAAGAAGGAGAAACCGCTCAAAGTGAAAATTGGTTAAGTATACTGAAAATCGAGAAAAATGAGAAATTTCGAGGGGGAGGAAGGTCGGAAGCGAAGAGGTAGCCCATTTCGTTTCACATATGCCCTCAGTTATTCTTTGTTTTTTTTTGTTTTTCATCTACACTTTCAGCCGTATGCATATACATTCAATGGGATGTGACACTTTTAATGTGTTCAGTGATTCCATTACTAGTACTCAGCCGCATTGTTTTCAGTAAGGTGAGCCTCCACCTTCATCTGTAACAACCCCCGTCGTCACCTTTTTCATTCCGTTCTTAAGCCTTTTTTGCTTTCAGTGGTTCTCAAAGACAATGGATCAAGAAGTTCATCTTCAAAACAAAATTAGCAATTTGGTAAACGAAACGTTCAATTGTATCAGAACGGTGATCAGTTTCGCTGCTCAGAAACAAACCATCAACAAGTTAGTTATGGGGATCACTCAGGTTACTTGTATATAATATTCAATCAATTACTTCTTTTCCAGATTCGAAAAACTATCTATGGAGAATAATAAACTGACAGAATCTCGATTACGTTCTTCTACAGTATATGATAGTGTTACACAGGTAAAAACTAAATTGTTAAAGTTTCTGATTTTTAGCAAGACCCTCGTGTGGGAATATTTTGACGTTCCTTTCAGATTCTTCTTACTGAATTGATTTTCACTGCTGCATTATGCTATGGAATATGGAGAGTTGCCGATCAGTCACCTGGAAGACTGGCTGCGGTACTTGTTTTTCGATTCGGTTTATACTAGTAAATGTGATGGTTACTTTGCGCAGTCAGTTGAGAGGTAATTAGATTAATCCGAGTGGAGTGTCAAGGACGGTATTTTCGGCCAGAATCAGTCTATTTCTAGCAGGGCACTCAACTTACGACATGTAAAGCGACGAAGTCGGGATCGAGACCTAGAGACCGTCTAATCTGCATGAAAGGCTCGCGGCGTGGTCGTTGCACCCTAAACCTAAGGCAGCGTTCAGACTTTGCGATGACTCACGCCGACACGCTGCGACGCGCTGTAACGCGCGTCGATGAGCTACTACTGACTGCATCGGCGCTCCAACGCTATAGGTGCGCAGAGAGGTATCGATCGGCGCCGGCGCTTTTGTTTAGAGAGAGCATGGGATAAGAGGAGAGTGAGCGCGCTTTTTCACAATCTGATCTTGATCGGCACCAGGCGCGAGTGTTTTAGGATAGCACGGAAGAATAGGAGGGTGCAGCGCTTAGCCTCCCGTTATACTATACTCTTTCAAAACAAGCGTCCGGCGCCGTTGATTTCCGTTTGCAGCTGCGTTCGCGTCTAAGCACTGGAGCGCCCTTGCAGTGGTTGCGCGTCAAAGCGTGTTACAGCGCGTTGAAATACGTCATCGCGAAGTTGAACGCTGCCTAAGCCTTGGTTAGGGGAAGTGACACAGAGGCGCTGCCGGGTGGCCCAGCTCAACAACGCCATGTAGTATCAAATAAGCTCCCGACGTTGGCGAAGGAGCTAGATCTTGGTTGACAAGGAGTACCAGAACCATCGGAAAAGCTTCAGTGTCTTTTTGATGACGTCACACAATCACTAAATCAAGAGATTTTATGAAAGGGTTTCCGTAAAAAATAACTTACAGCTTGCCATTAACATGCTTTACATGTGTGTAACATCGATCTCTATTGGATTTCACATCAATGGAGCGGCAACAGCTCGTCAGAGCGCCTCACGATTGCGAGATATCTTGGGTAAGGCCTATTCTGCCGAATGAATTTTGTATGATACCGTTTTGTATCACAAAGGATTGTCTTATAGACGAGTCTCCTCAAATCGAACGCGACTACGGTTTTGCTGGAGACAATCCTCGGCAGTGTCTACCGGGCCCAAAATACCGCCGCCAAAGCATGAAGTATATGGGTACAGGACTTGTCAACTATTTCTAATTTAGTAAACCGTTTCTGACAACTTCGTTACATCTCCGTTTTAGGAAAAGGAGCTATCCATTTTCGTGACATACACTTCAGCTATCCCAGCAGACCAGATGTTGAGGTAAATATGAAGTGGTGTTCATTATAAGGTACCACCACATCTAGCAATGATGGAAATTCAAAGATAAGTGGGACAACTGGTTACAGTCCGGTTGTCTCAGTGATTACTGAAGACGTAGTCCCGATATTCTCCGATAGGCGCTGGCAGTACAGTTGATATCGTCGAAACACTCGAGCCGATGTCAGAAGGCTCAGCATGAGCCCACCCACGGTGCATTTTACCTGTGATTGTTTTCTTCCTAAACCAACCACTATTGGTGGAAAACGCAGCCTGAAGTGGACTCGATTCCAACCATATCAACTGTACCTGTTTTTCGGTACGTTAGCTGACTAAGGTTCTGTTGTATTCCAGGTTCTCAAGGGAATAACGTTCTCCGTTGAAGCTGGTGAAAAGGTAGCTCTAGTCGGCTCCAGTGGTTCAGGCAAGAGTACTCTCACGGCATTGTTGCTCCGATTCTATGACCCTGATAGCGGGTCGGTAAGTGTGAATATGTGTGGTGTAGGATTAGGTACTATTAGCCTTAAAACAATTCCACTACAAAGAGATGCGCACTCCTTCTTTAATCATAAACGAGCGACGAAAGAGTGTTGCACATTTCTATTAAAGCAGTTGGCACGATAAATCCCCAAAGACGACAACGATCAATACTCCTGCAGGATAGAATTCCGCGACTTGGGCAGGCGCTGTATTGCGGTTTCCCCGAGGGAGGTGCCTTTATAAGGGCCCTATGAAGCCACAACTTTACGTCCCAACGCCCGCCACGCCCGCCCGCCCACAAATGGACGACCGTTCCTGACGTATTCAGTCATTCGCTGAGCAAATTATAAAGCGAAGGGATTGGTATGAAGCGGCCGTGATGCTGCATGCATAGATGGGTACACATATGCAGCTATATTCGGTAGCGGTGATTGGTACGATGCCTACGGGAAACTCGTCCGAAATCGATTTACAAGTCACTGAGAACGGAGGCTTTTCTTTCACAGGATTTTGACCGTTTCACTCCGTCCTTTCGCCATTTTCCCCACTATACAGCCGCCCTACTTGCATTTTAGGCTAAGTAGGGAACCATCGTGCCAACTGCCTTTTGAAACACGAACACTTCTTATAGTCTAATACCCGCAGATGGGGAGGGCGTGGCGGCGTTCCACTCGAGTGTATAGGTGGTTACGCCTTGTAGGGTGTTTACTATTCGACCAACTATAATTGTGCCTCTAAGCAGTACAATACAAGATGACAGCTGCCTCAAGAAGCAATATTCCGCGTAAAACACATGCTGGCGCGGTATTCCAAGTAGAATATGCGGCCACGCCTTCTCTATATCTGAGATATGGAATGGTACACTGGTCAAGTTCAGACATCGTTGGAGTCTGCCGCGCCAACGACGCGCGATGGATGCCGTTGGCGCGGCAGACTATGAACTTCACTATGGATCGGCGCCAGCCGCAAGTGTTTTGGAGAGTAAGGAGGAGACAAGGAGGGTTATATATTAGGTTGATCAAAAGTTTTGGTAGGGTCGAAATTTTTTCTCTGTTTTATTTTACAACTCAGCAAACAATGCAATCTAACCTACAATACAATAACCATCGTTAGTCATAACATTGTCCCACCTAACGGGCAGGCCAGCGATTCCCTTCTCCCAAACTGGGAGATTGGGAGTCAAAGAAGTCACCGACCACTTGTTCAAGGTGGTCATAGTTGACGAATCGTTTTTTTGCCAGGAAAGCCTTGAGGGGGCCGAACAAGTGGTAATCTGAGGGCAATATAAGTGGAATAGGGGGACCTGAAATCGTGTCCAGCCTAGCTCTTCAATATTTTGCACGGGTTCTCTTTACCTATGTGATGCCTAGCGTTCTCATGGAGAAGGTGCACAAATGTTCGTCTAGGCCGTTTTTCTCGAATGGCTCCTGCAAGCTTCTGCAGCTGACCAACGTAATAAGGAGGCGGTGACAGTGTGCCTTGCTTGAGCAGTTCGTAGTGCAGCATTCCTTTTGAATCCCAGAAGCAGCAAAGGAGAAAGTTCTTGGGGTGGAGGTCGGATTTGGCTTGCGTCGGCGGCTGTTCTGCTCGCGGGGAGCAGACGGCGCGGGTGCTTGTTAGCGTCGCAGAGAACCAGCTTTCATCTCCAGTGACTAGGTCCTCCCGAAGCTTCTTGCGATGTGGGCGGAGAAGGAGAGACTGACAAATGGATACCTGGGTGTACCGCATGCTATCGTTCAAGACATGAGGTATCCATCTAGTCAGCACTTTTCTGTACCCGGAGCCTGAAGGTAACCGACGACTGTTGATTGGGTACACCCAAGTATCGTCGCAAGACTGCGGGTGTTAACTTCCGGATCCCTTTTGACGGCGTCGAGAATGACGGAGTCGTCGACGGCGGGGGGGGGGAGGGCGTCCCGACCGAGACTTGTCTTCGAAGTCCATGTCTCCTTTCTTGGAGCGAGCGAACCAGCGATGGACCGTAGCGATGGAAGTGGTGTCCTCCCCTCATACGCTGTTGATGTTGCGAACGGCCGCCGTCGCTCCGGTCCCGCTGCTCCACTCGTAGGAGATGGCGTATCGAACATGTATCACCCGTATCACCTGTGCTCCCGTTGATCATCGAGTTCCTCCAGCGGGCGCCAGTAACGTCTCCATTTCGTCCCTGCAACGTGCAAGAGTTGCCCAATGAACTCTCTCAGCTCGAGGGACACGATGAACTTCATACCGTTCGTTCAGAGCTTTCACGAAGAAGTCTGACCATCGCATAGGCGGTCGTCCAGGCGTTCGCTTGACATCCCGTGGAATCCAGTCGGTAATCCTCTGGTCCAGCGGTCGTCTTCGAAACGCATGACGTGTCGGCCCACCTGATCTTCGAAACCTTGGCAAATGAGGCGGCGTCTCTGATCTTCGATCGTTGGCGGAGTGCGGAGCTCCGGATTCCCTCTCTCACTTGCGTGTAGCGGGAAACTCCGAGCATCGCCCTTTCGATGGCGCGTTGAATAACGCCGACCGCATGCTCATCCTGCTTTCGTAGAGTCCAAGTCTCTGAGGCGTACGTCAAGGCAGGAAGGACCGCGGAATCGAAGAGGTGGGCACGGAGCTTGGTGTTCTTCGTCTTCTTCGCTACTCCCTCGATTGTCTTGTAGGCTCCCCAAGCCGCTCGCTTCCTCCTGCTCAGCTCTGGAGCTAGGTCATTCATCGTATTGATTTCACGACCTAGGTACACATAGCTAGAGCATTCAGAGATGGTCGTCTCGTTGAGCGTGAATGGGCATCAGATACCAATCCGTTTCTCATGAACATCGTCTTCGTTAGGTTCAGCCGTAGACCGATTCTTCCACAGCGCAGTCGAATTCAGCCAGCATTCGTTCCGCTTGCTCGATGTTTGGCGTTATCAAAACGATTTCGTCAGCAAAGCGGAGATGGTGTAGTTGCCGACCGTCGATCTTCACTCCCATGCCTTCCCATTCCAGTTGACGCATGACGTTCTCGAGAGAGGCGCTGAAGAGCTTGGGCGAGATGGTGTCGCCCTGTCGGACCCCTCTCTTCACATCAATGATGATCTCCTTGTAAAAGGTGAAATCTTGGTCGTGAAGTTGCTGTAGAGCTCACGAAGAATCCTGATGTACTGAGTAGGAATACCCTGGTTGCCCAGGGCTTCGATAAACCGCTTCTGTCTCAACGGAGTCGAAGGCCTTCTTCAAGTCGATGAACGTGAGACATAGCGGCATCTTGTACTCTCGCGATACTTCGATGAGCTTCGTTACCGTTGGATGTGATCGATCGTGCTGAATCCTCTTCGAAACCCTGCTGCTCGCATGGCTGTCCCTCGTCTTGATTTTCTGCCAATCCTATTCAGGATGCTCGTGTGAAGAGTTTGTAGACTACAGACAGCAGGCAGATTGGGCGATAATTGCCAATGTCGTACAGGTCTCCCTTCTTGTACAGCAACACAGTCTTGCTGGTTTTCCACGAGGTGGGTACCTTGCATTCCGACAGGTAGCGCGTGAAGAGTCGAGCCAGAGTTTTGACGAGAACTGGCGGAAGATTCTTCAGATGTTCGGGTCTGATCCTGTCGGGACCGGGTGCCGTACGATTCTTCACCGACGAGATGGCGTGTCGGACATATCCATCCTGCTCCAAGCGGTATGGTTGCAGGTGGACGTGGCTGTCGAAGAGATTCGAGTAGAAGTCGTGGATGACCTTCTCCATTGCCCTTCCTGGATGCGGTGATTGTTCCATCCGGACGCCGGAGGGCGGTCATCTTGGTCTTACAGTTGGCGAAGTCGCGCGGGCGTTGCGTATGCCTCTCCCAGCCTCTGCGGCTTCCACCAATACTGCTGGTCTTCTCTCCTTGAGGTCTTCTTTTTCGCTCCTCTGCATAGCTTCGCAAGCACAGACGTCAGCTGTAATTGCCTGCGGCTCGTGCGGCTCCACGTTGGCGAATCAGTCGAGAGTTTCCAGAGATAGACGCTTCTTGGTAATCTTGGAACCCTCTGACTTCTTGGCGCAGTCGTGAAGATGTGCAAATAGCCGTTCGTATTCCTCGTCGATGTTGTCGATGACAGAATCCTCCCAGAGCCCCAGCGAGAGAAGTGAAGTGATCCCAGTTGACGAAGGCTCTTTGGGCTTCGCTTCTTGAACTTTGCGGCTCTCTCCTCCTCGCATCGAAAAGCGGAATCTTGGCGCGAAGGAGGCGATGGTCGGATCCCGTGTAGAACTTAGGGACAACAGCGACATCGATTAGGCAAAACCTTCGATTGCAGATGATGTGGTCGATCTCGTTATGGAATTGTCCACCAGGAGACTCCCATGTCCAGCGTAGAGAGTAGGGCTTCTGGAACTGCGAGTTACCATGGATGGTGTGGGTCGACATGATAAACTCAGACAGCCTTTCACCCTGCTCATTCCACCCGTTCCGTGAGTTCCGATGTGAAGTTCTTCAGCCGTTCTTCTTGGTCCGATCTTAGCGTTGAAATCACCGACGATGACCTTGAAGAAGGTATGATCTTCCTTGTAGAATTCTTCTCCAATTCCATATAGAACGCTTCGAGCTCATCCTCGTCGTAGCTTGATGTTGGTGCGTAGGCGACGAAGATTGTCAAAGCTGGAGTTGAACCACATCTTCTCAATCGCAAACGTCCGATTCGGGTCGTCAGACTTTCTATACGAATCGATGTTCATGGCCAAGTGCGTGTTGACGAGGACGCCCAACCGCAAACGCCTCTGCTGTCGCATGTTCCCGAGGAACAGTTCTTCTCCAGTCTCGTACACGGCGTGTAGCGGGCGATGCCTCCTCGTCTCGGTCAGTCCGATGACGTCGTACTTGATCTTCCTGGCTTGCAACATCAGATCTTCGATGTGAGCTTCCGATGCAAGCGTCCGTGCGTTGAAAGTACAGATCGTCATCCTAGTCCTGGGCGACTCAAATCTCCGTTGGCCCTGTGATTTTTGCAGCCTCGTCCGAGCGGTCCCAGCCGACGTCGCCCTGTCGGTGGTTCCCTCGGCTTCAGGGGAATGAGCGCCATAGTTGTTACTGTTTTCGGCGAGAAGAAAATTAACCACGCGTAGCTCGCCACGCTCTGACGTGGCCACCTCCGCATTGGTACGTTTTTGGAACAGTCCAAAACCGTTCACCCCCACGCCACGATGAGGCTGCGGATAGGATTTGTGGGGATCGAAACATGGTCTCGTGTGAATTGACATTGTGATTCAAGCTAAAGGAGGAAGCGCGCCCATATATACCCATTGCGGAGAAGGCTCTAGAGTGTTTTACCACTACCAAATGGTAGACCATTGGTATCGATCAAGATCGAAAGTTCTGGAACTTTCAAAAAACCTTATCAAAACTTTTTGATCAACCTAATACTTTGTGATTAGGCATCTAAATCAGAAAAGTTTGCAGTGCAGTTGCAGAGCAGCAACCTTGCTGTTTTGTAATGCCTAGTCACATAGTTCGATACCGGCACTGCGTTCGTACGTTGGTCAGTGATTCTCAGCGAAAGCGTCAGCGCGTGATATACAGTCCTCAACAAGCGAATCAATGGGCGTGTCAGGATGACGTGGAGTTTGGTGCGGCGCCAACTCGTTCTGGCAGAGTCGTGGGTGTAGGTTAGGACCCCAGGAGGGGTCACGGCTGCCATGTTTCGCGTCGCCGTGCGCGGCGATTGCTGCGTGATTGGACGAGACCCATACAGTCGTGCGATTAAGATCCCGGTCCCTTCACATGGCATCACGCAAATCTGCTTGGCACTTTGCCAAACTAAAATATTCAATGGGACATCAATATTTTTTTAATGGCAGCTGTATTTATTCAACGGATCGCTGTATTTCTTTAATACTGCCTACCTACTTTTCCCGTCTGGCCGCAAATCTTAGGCCTTTACAGTACCTTACAAAGGAGTGCAAAAGAAGGATTTACCTTAAAATGAATTTTTGTAGATTGCTGGTGTACTCTCTAAATATTATTTCTATGGACATTGTTTTATACTGATTGTTGAACATCGGGCCCACTCCTTTCATAGTTTTCACACCTGCAAGTATTAGAGCAGACTGTTGGAAATTTAATGGACTATGCAAACCCCGCGCACATAGCGAAAACATCGCGGGGCCCGCCTCTCCTACCGCCGCGCGCGCTGGCAGGCTGACCTCTCGTGGAGTCCTGACCGTTCCTCCAGAATCGTAGCCAGGTTAGACAAGCAATGATTGGTAGGAAATGAGCTGGCGCAGCTTTATAAGCCACGTCACACTGATACGCCCGTCGATTCGGCAGACTATAATCCCAGAACATCCGTACCGGGCACTGTATCCCTTTATCCTTTAATGCAAAGCAGTTTATCTGTTTCCACTTCCAGATTCTGCTCGATGGTGACAACATAAAAACGTTATCCCCGGATGATTTACGAGGCATGTGCTCCTTGGTGTCCCAGGAGCCAGTACTGTTCGACGGAACTATCAGTGACAACATCAGATACGGGCGACTTGACGCCACACAGGTCGAGCCGTTAGAATTCGCAATATTATACCTTTCCTTGCTAGTGCAGCCTTTTCTCGGTCCCCATAGTCTTCTTTCAAGAAGCGTGTCAAGGGATGGGTTTGGCAACCCGTTCTCCACTGGTTGCGGAAACTGGCAAGCGACCACAGTTGGTGTGAAACGGGCTGTTGTCGCGGCAATCCTAACACCTTTGACCCCTCGCGTCCACAGCGAACGAATCTGTTTCCCACAAACTTTTATGATTAAGCGAGGCTACGCAATGGATTGGTGCCAGAGGAGCCCTCTAGGATCGCTAACTATCGACTTCACCAACTACCATTGTACAACTATTTCAGGGGTTCTGATCGGGATTTTTTTCAAGGGTGCTTAGTGAGGAAAACCGTGAAAACTGCTGGACATGACATCAGAAAGAGGCAAGCAGGACAAGAAACAGAAGTGTTGTCATTGCTCGGCTCTATAAATGAATGTTTTAATGCTACTATTAAGTATCCTGTTTCCAGCAGGAAATCAATGATGCTGCTCGAAAGGTGGGTGCTTGGCAGTTCATCAGTTCTTTACCGGAAGGAATGCAGACAAGAGTTGGAGACAGGTAAAACGTCCCGATCCCGATTATTTCAATTTTTTGAAGTTTATCTAAGAAATGAGGTACTCAGCAATATATCCAGAGGTTTTTAGAGGTCTACAATTATCAGGTGGTCAAAAGCAACGAGTTGCAATCGCCAGAGCAGTTATCAGGTAAGTAACTGGTCAATGATTGTTGTGGACCGAACGGCTGCGACCTTTCTGGCACGGCACACCACATGCCACCCATGAATCAGGCAAGCGCGGGAATTTGAATCCATTGAGTGGTGGGCCTTTTGTGACTGTGTATTCTATAGCGATAACCAGAAGAATAACGTTACTAGATTGAATACAGTATACAACAACAGTTTCCTGTGAAATGAAATTAATCAGCCCATTAATTAAGCGAAAGTTCACTGTAATGTTTCAAAATCCAGAGTTTGGATTCAACCACAGGATTTCAGGAAACCAACTGTCATGCTTTTTGATGAGGCTACATCTGCCCTGGATAATCTTCATGAGGAAGAAGTACAGCACGCTATCGACCTCGCTTCTGAAGGACTCACTACAATAACGATTGCCCATAGGTAAAGTGGTTAGAGCGGTGTAATGGAAACAAAGAAAAACAAAATATTGGAAAAAGAAAACACTTCAACACACAGATGGTCCGTTTCGCCTCTTATCCCAAACAAACCATATAGGCCAGAACGTAACAAACTCAGTTTTTTCTGAATGTACGCCAAATGCGACCACTCTTCCCTATCCTACATCCTACCTCCCTCCTTCCTAATTTTTCCCAGCTTCGTGCCACTTTTTTCCCCACTACATCGAAAACAACATTCCCAAAGGTAGATGCAAAAAACTTCCCCAATTCAGCGATCAAATACGACCCCCCCCCCTGGGGATCTCCAATGTACGGCGTGTTCTGTTATGCATGAAATACTTGCAGGGAAGGGGTCAACAATTAGAGATGACCCTAGAATGGCCCCGGTGAACTCTTCGAGTCACCGTCTCTTGACTTCTGAGCAAAAGGCATCAATGAACTGCCCGAGGATGGAGGAACGTTATTGGCCTCTTCCACTATATAACTTTAGACTTTTATAACAGGCCGGAGCTCACTGTCAGTTATTCTGTAAGTACGACAAGATATGACTCCTCCATAAACTGTCCTCCTCTGGTACGACCCTCTTTTCCTATTCCTCATCCTATACCTACCTAGATCACATTCGATGTCCTGGACAAAGGCGTAAAAGAATTCCAATGTCTCTGTCTTGTCTCACTCTTCAAAGCATCTCAAGTGTTCAAGGCTGTCGACGGTAAAGAACTGTGACCGAATAATTGTAATGGACGAAGGACGCATCGTAGAGGAGGGTCCACCAGATGAACTTTTAGCGAAGGATGGCGGACAGTTTCGGCGGGTGAGATTTGGCATTATCTCAAGATACTTTGAAGTGAAGTTGTGGTATTTCAGCTTTACAATGACCAACGCATGGATTTGTTCGCCCATGCCCAGCCTAATTACAAGACAAGTCTCGTTCCAGCTGCTACGCCTCGCTCTGGGACAATACTACCGACCTTACATAGTACAGTTTCACCCTTAGCAGATATTTTACTTTACTGTACTGTGGTAACTATCACAGATCTTATGAAGAACTTCTGAAGAGGGCTATCAGTTGTGCTATGGCGTTCCTCAGAACTTATTCATTATTCAAAAATGAGACGATCGTCAACAGAAATGCACTTCTATCCACGTGCAGTTGATAACGTCGCAATTGGTCGCGGCAGTGTCTGGAGGGGCGGAATGGGACATTCTTCGGCTGCTTGCTCCATCAATAGTGATCGGCTAGTGGTCGATTTAGGATGGAAACAACCACTGGTGAAACGCTGGCGGCTGTGCTCATTCCCCCCCCCTTCCCTTGAAACCATCCCGAATGATTGCGGAGATATCAACTGTAAGGAAATATTACAGGTACCCCACGTCCAGAACCTTGCATAGATCACTTTTCCGCCTATCACTCAGTGATTGTTGTAGCAGAACGCCCAATGCAGCTGCTCCATGGAGTAGTCAGGCCTTGCTCGCTAGGGTTTGTCAGGTGGGCCGGGCGCGGGGCCAACCCGTTTTCCATCAGTTATTGTCTCCGGCTCGCTTCAACAACTGGCGGATGACGGGCTGGGGGCGGCGCCAAACTCAGCTCCCTGACACGCCCGCATCAGTAGCGAACAAATCTGTCCCTGCGTGTTTTCTCTGGCAGTCTTTGCGCCTCACCATCCAATGTGAATGGCTACCCGTTTCTCAGTGTATAAGAATAACCAAAAATACCCAACCCTATCATAAACCGTCTACTCATGTTTAAAATTACACATAGAGAACAATCATGACTAATGTAATTAACCAATTATATTAGAAAGATTAACTACTATGTAGTTTTTGGTCTGTACAGGAGTGATCTAAATGCCTTCTCCAGGGCGCCGGAACGAATCGACGATCCTGGAACACCAGTTCATTAGGAGCCAACAATAAGAAAAAATTGGGAAAATCGTATTCAGTACTGAGCCACGATGAGAGACTTCCTGGTAAGCCTTACGCCTGTGGAGGATTTTGTAACCAAAAACCATTTTTTCAGTTATGAGCAAGAAGCGTTCACGACGTCTGGATTATAAGTATTCCAATGTTGGGCGTATGGATATTGAAATAGACGTCATGCCTGAATTTGAAGAGGTGGACAATAATGTAAGTGACTGCATTTCCAACTACGACACCTGAAAATTTTCTTCGACGGTTGCACTTAGTTCAGCTCTTCTGTTACATCTACGTCCTATTTGCTTTTTGGGAAATAAACTGACACTGGTTCCTTTCCGGCCCAACTATCTTAAAGACACATAGTACGCCCACACACATTGAGGGTATATGTGACTAGCAGCCCCCCAGCTGTCGAAGCGTAGCGGTTTCCCCGTTCAATCATGCACAGGGATGGAGATACAGGACCGTGAGACAGGCTAGTTCGTCCATGCTTCGCCCAGTGCCTTTTTGCGGCGCAGATTCCCGTCCTTCATGACATCCGTCGTAAGCGCGCGTGTCGCGTGCGGCTCCTTGGCACTTTGCCAAGTCCTTTAATTGCGCTTTAAACGCAATTTCCTGATGCGGATAACATTGGAGGTGCTGCAAAATAAAGAAGATGAGACGAGGGTCAGCACTTGAAAGCAAGTGTGCCACTTCTGCAACGTCCCTCGGAGGCCGCGTATGCCCACGAAACATGAAAATATTAGGTTGGCGGGAAAGTTCTGTCACATTTTTTTAAACTAGGCTTTCTTTTTATAGAGAGAAGTGTAAGATCAAAATTGTACAGCAATGTAACTGCGGGGTCCTTGCCACTGTTTGAGGCAACCTCATGGATGCCATCGCTTCACTATGCAGGGAGGCACGACGCAAAGTTGGACACCATCTCAACTTCGACTTGAACTTGGGTTATGGAGGTTTCCTCGTCCGCATAACGATCGATTACGGAAGGCAACTTGCTATTAGAAGAGGCGATGCCTGTGCTACACAAATGCAAGGGGAGAGAGGTCAAGCTCCATTGCATGAGGTACGGCTCGAACTTTTTTGGACCAAGTGCGTTGCACTATCTTGGTGAGGGGCGCCTGTGCGGACAAATTTTTCCCTCTGATCCAGCTAACACGCTGGCGTCAGGGTGGTGGGTGAAATAGTTTGTGAAAGTTTTTGGATGGGTCGGGGCTGATGGTAGCGGATAAAATCCTTGTGCATATTGCAGAAGAAGAGCAAGAGGCAAGCGAGTGGTACTAACAGAGAGACCACTCCCTGTTGTACAAGAGCTTACATTACCGATTACCCCTCTTGCTAATGAGCAAGTAATTTGAGTTCGGAAATAAGTGACAAAACTTTCCCGCCAACCTAATAAAAACGGCATAGTCTTTAGTTTAATACAAGCAAAACGCAATTTCCTGATGCGAATAAAATTTTAGGTGTTGCTCATGCTTCAAAATCCATGTACAAGGAGATGAAGATGACACAGGCTAGAAATGAAGCACAACGATGTAAATGTAAATAAAACAAAAATGAAAAAAAATACAAGGAAAGGCAAATTAGTTGGAATCGCCTTCAAATTTCTACGGTTCGGCGCGAATCCGGCGCCAAAGCCATAGAAGTACTTAGAACAAACTGGGACGCTTGGGCTGTTTTATCCTCATGTTTTGTGGGAATGCGCGGCCCTTGATGGATACTGCAAATGCAGCCGAGTTTCTCTTGAGTTCTGGCCCTCATCATCATCTTCTGTTCTTATTTTGTAGCAGCTCCAATGTTATCCGCGTCAGGAAATTGCGTTTTACTTGTATTTGAGAGCGCAATTAAAGGACTTGGCAAAGTGCCAAGGAGCCACACGCGATAGGCGCCTTACGACGGATGTTACGAAGGACGGGAATCTGCGCCGCAAAAAGGTATGAGGCGGAGCATGGAGGAATTAGCGTGTTTCACGGTCCGGTATATCCATTCCTGGGCATGTTTGGGCGGGGGGACCACGACACATCGGCAGCTGGGGGGCTGATAGTCTCATACACCCTCAATGTGTTTGAGCGTACCATGTGTCTTCAAAGGGTAACTCGAAGGCAGAGCACGCTATGCGCTATCAGAAGCATGGGTAATCGGGGGATGGGGAGGGAGGGCTGACATAAGGATGTCAAGGTGCCAAAAAACTTAGCGGTAGGAAAAAACACGAATGCCTGGGTGAATGCACGTTTATGCAACGTCACAACGAAGACAGGGCGGGATCATATGGTCGATAAGGTCGCCGCAATTGATCACTCCTGATTTCTTAGGCAGCGTTCATACTTCGCCGTTGCTGTCGCGAAGTATGAACGCTGTCTTATTGATAAAACTCCGTGCCTACGTCCTACATCGCGTTTTATAATGGGTAGGTAGAGCGGTGGGCGGGGGCAAGTTGGGCCTGGCCAGTGAGAGAGACGACTACATGGACCACGTCAGCGCTCGCTTTCGCGCCGCGAAAGCGGTGCAGAGCGTTGTCTCTGCAGACCAGGCCTTACCAGGGAGAGGGGTTTCTCGGCTGACGCGGAGTGCCTCTTATTAACACAGTCTAAAAGTCGTTGGTATGTAAGCGTTGTGTGAAAAAGGAGGCGTTTGAACTGAGGTTTCATAGTGCGATAGCCTAGCACCGAACTAATGCAGGGTAAATCCTTTCAGAAATTGTGCATTGAAATCAATGCAAGAGAGTGAACGGGAAAAAGCTGAAAATGTGGGTTCTACACGAGTGTGTTGAAAGAATCGCATAGGCGCTTCTTCTGCATATCCACTTTTGGCGTTACAACATTGTGAGATATGCTCGCATAACATCCATCAGGTTCTCTGCAGTCCTGTCCGCTGCAAATGATAGTATATTTCAGGGGGATAGGTTTAGCGCAGCGCCAGCCCGTTTCCTTCCCATTTTTTTTGACAAACGGCAAGACTGTTTCATATCATCCGGGTCAGTGGCTTTCCAACAATTGTTGTCGCTTACTCGCTCCAACAACTCACGGAGAACGGGTTGGCGGCGCGCCTAACCCAGCCTCAGTGGCACGCCCCATCATTCGCAGCGAAAGTGCGATTTGATTTCAACTCTGTGGTATTATCTGTACTCTTTCTTATTGCGGAATTCTGGTAACAAAAAGTAACTGTTCTTTAAGCTGCCAGGAAAACACACCAACTTCGATGCAATTTGGAAAGTTATCGCTAATTATCGTGAGGGATATTCACTGCTGGCAGGTGCTATCCCGACCACGATTATTCGAGCATTCTTCTATCTGCTCATTTGTTTTGAAGTTGCTTCTGTGCTTGAAGTGAGTTGAAAGTATTAGGCCGATCAGAATTGTTTTGTGTCCTCCTTCAGCATGATTTTTTTCGAAAATTACGGTACAGCAACACTCCAGTTAGAATTGCAAGTACACTCCTTCTACCTAAATCACATCAGTCAATCATCACACTCTATATATAAAGCAGAAGTTGTCTGTGTGTTTGTCGGACGGATCAATAGGAGAACAGGCCCCGCCACAATAGGCGGGCCTATATTAGCTCCAGTGTTTTGTCACGGACCTAATCTTTTGAAAACGTTGCGTCAAACAAATTCTTTAACGCCGTCAACTTTGAGCATGGGGGCTGACGGCATGTTAAAAATATGCCGGAAACACACAAAAATAAGTTAAGCCTCGCGCACAAGGCACGTGCGCCGAAAGTGGCCAACGACAAAAAATTCGTAAAATGTCCTCCGGAAGATCACGAAGGACCGGGGGACACGATCACTTCTCTATGCACACGTAGACCTAGCCCACCACATGGGCTGGGGCATACCCCGACAGTGAGCGGGCGGTTTGATCTCCGGATGGCGCTATGGCCGAATTCAAATCTTAAAATAATCGGAACCCGGAAAATGCCTGACGGCACGGAGAAACGGCTTGAGTTAAATAAAACAGAAGGAGGCTCACCCGAAGGGCATTGGGAAGTAAAAGCATGCAGCCTGTAGCTCAGTGGTGTCACGGACGTAATTCTTTGAAAAGGTTGTCAACAAGATTCTTAACCGCCGTCAACTTTGGATGGGGCTGAGGGCATGGTTGAAAAATATGCCGAATATCACACTAAACTAAGTTAATCCTCGCGCAACAATGGACGTGCCGCCGAGTGCCACGACGTCCCGAAAATTCGTAAAATTCCTTCCGAAGATCAACAAGGACCGGGGATCATCGATTCATTCTCTCATGCACCACGTTAGACTACCCCCACAATGGCTGGAGGCATCACCGCGAAAGTGAGCGGGTGCGTTTTGTTCGGATGGGCGAGGCCGAAATTCAAATCTTTAAAATTCTGACCCGGAAATGACTCGGCAGCCGGGAAAACGGGCTTGAGTATAGAGTAAGCAAGTGAGATATAACTCAGAAAGGAGCACACCCGAAGTGGGCCTTGGAAAGCAGGCAGCTCCTGCAAGTCGAACCGCGTTTTGCTGGGTTAGGCAGGACCAGATAAAAAATTTCGAGTCGATGACGCGGAACCACCGGAGCAGCGGCAAACCGTGGAATAAGAAGTGGGTCGAGGTTCAATTGAAGGAGGCATACTTGAAATGGACTCACGAAAAAAATTGAGTACCGACATCCCACCCCTCGCCTTTACGAAAATTTCGCAAACATCCACTAGGGGGATTTATACCAAAGATGAAACGGCAATAGTCTTGAATTGCAGACAAAAAAATTATATGCCGGAGGGTCACACGCATAAGGAGGATCGCCGGACGAATGCGGGCGATCCGACTGGCCCTCACTTTGGATGGCCGGGGACCCCCTTCTCACACATAAGGAGTTTGGTCCTCCCACGTCATTTCAGTGACCGCACTCTGCCAGCTTTCCTGCCACTTTTACACGTTGTCTTGGAGTCCTTTACTGGTGTCGTAGATGTATGGGATAGTCTTCACTGACCCTTCCTTGACTTCTTCTGCAAGGAGAATTGGCTCATAGCTGATTTTTAATGTGTCCAAACCGTGAAGTTTTACTTTTGCCAGCCATGCAGAGTGCGTAAAACTGCCTTAGCTCCAATTCAACTTGATACCAACGCTGTCAGTCTAGTCGCAATCAGCGATCCTCACCTGTGGCGTTTCCATCGCTGGTTGGTTTCATTACTCCCCGCTCACCATTGGTAGAGCAAGGCAGCCGAAGGCGGGGCCACCCACCCTCCTCACGCTGTCCTCGACTGACTGCGATGTTGCTAACAATACATTACCTCCACTACGGAGTCCCTATGTTCCGGAATTCCTCGAGCACAGATTGAGACAGGCGGTTGAACGTCTGCTGAAGCCAGTGTACCCACAGTGCTCCACTGCTCCCTCTTTCTTCAAGAATCTCAACTGATCCGTGCACTTTTCCAGACCCCTTCTATCATTGCCCATCTTTCATTTTCCGAAATCGATCTGACAGTTTTATTATGCTGACTGCTGTTTTCACGCGGCAGCCCCCGCTCTGAAAGTTATCGCAGTTGTGATAACTTTGGAGCGTGAGAAGGATCGACATCTGTTCTCTTACAAAGCAAAAGTCACAAAAGCTGCTGCTAAAATTGTGAGGCAGTGTTTAGAACGAAACATTTCTTACAAATTTACTCGAATTATCATTTCAACCTGCAATCTATATGAGTGAAAACGCTTTTTTGAAGATCGCCATAGCTCCAGAGGAAGAACGTAATGACCGGATTTTCATTGTGGCAGCCGTCTACACAGCGTTGATTATTATCAAGACCATATTCGAAGCACTTGGTGTGAGTTTTCTTTTTTCATTTCCAGTGCGATATGCCTCAAAAGGCCATATTCTGCACTTTTCCGTGATGTTACCTCAGCCAGCCATTTATGTAGTTAGGGGGCTTCCGTTTGAAGGCGGTGCGCACGACGGCTGTGGGCGGGTTGTCACTGCTGACGTCATTGGTGGAAGGGCGAGGGTTCGGCCACACCCCACTCAGCCTTTCCACCAGTGACCTTGGCAGTAACTCCTGCCCCTACCCATCGTGCGCATCACCTTTAAGTGATTCACTTATTATGAATGAAATTCGAGAATATGTGGGGGAAGTCGATGGCTTTGTATCTCTGTCACTTGAAATCTCACTCTAAATGGTTCACGTTATGGTAACGTTATGGGAAATTGCAGATAAGCGTTCTCTCAAAACCGTTTTCAGAGGCTCTTTATTGCTTTGTACGGCCACGGATTTTGTTCATGTATGAGAAGCACAATGTTCAGAAAGGTTCGTTGCTGGAAATACCCTGCTCATAGTGGTAGACAGAGGCTCCTACTGTTTGTCTCAGATTATGCGGCACGGGTGTGCGTATTTCGATGAGGAGAGGAATAGCCCTGGACGTATCTTGCAAAGGATCATAACTGATTCGTCGACGTTGAACAAAATCATGGAAGCTAAGCTCGACATCCTCATACCGGCAATAATTTGTCCACGTGAGTGATTATTTTGGTTTCTTAACAATATCTACATCTTCACGTGAGCGGCATGACTATTCTACGTGCCCACCGGAAATAGTCCTACACCACATGAACTTCATAACCGGAAATAGGGGGGGGGGGGCGTAGCTGCACAAGTTCCATTAGATAATGGCGTTGTTGTGGGATCGCTTTGTGGAGCATTTTCAAATGAGACAACTATCATCTATGTTTGTGCTTCAGGCAAACTAGATAAACGCGCAGTGTCGATTGCCTCAACAGCAATGTCTGCATCAAACGGCAATATGCGGAGGGGGTGCCACGGGTCCATATGAACGGCAAAGCGCCGCCGATGCTGCGAATAAAGTCCGCGCCCACGCCTCTGCACTCTTTAGGGTAGCGACAGTATAATGGGCTGCAAACCGCTTTTTGCTTCTTAAACGACAGCGCCTGCCGATGGACATTGGCAAGGTCTTCAGTGGGTCAAATTTGTTACGAACAGGTGGCCCAAGTGAAGCACTAATGCAAAAAAAGTAGAGAAAAGGGTGGAAGAGCGTGAAATAACATCCTACGAAAATTAAGGCATGGTGGACGAGTTTGCAGACCTTTTGAAATGAGTTCTCCAATACACGTCGCGGCCCGTCGGAACTCCAGAAACTTAGCGTTTTATCATGGCCAGCAAGCAACTGATAACTGTTACACGCGGTCGGGGCGGGATTAACAGGGAAGGAGGCGTCAGCTCAGGGCTGTTGACTCCGCCCTCGTCAATCAAATACATTTCGAGGCCGCAAAGTGGGATATCCGCTATGTTGCATACTCCGCGTTCGTTTCATTGGACGTGTTTTTGTCCACATTTGTTGATCGCGGACGCTGCCTTTAAGGAAAGCGAACCTCAAATTTTCTGTGAAGAATTGATTTTGCCTATCAAAACTTTGCTTTTCTGAGGCAGCCATAGTTCCTTGTGAATTTGTTATATTTAGTTTTTCGTTCGCTGCTGCTATGTACATCAACTGGAAGATGGCGTTGTTGTGCTCGTTCCAGTTTCCTGCTTACTTCATTATTCGAATTGTGCAAATGAAAGAAGGAACGAAGAGGTACGGTTTTCTGTGGCCTACTGACTACCTATTGGTTCCCTACTGGTATCCTCCAGTTGCAGCTATTTGTCAGAAAACGTAGTAAAGAGAACGTGACTACTGGCTTATAAAACGACTTCTTTAAATTACAGCCGCTGTTATTGAGTACACAGTGAGAAAGAGCAGAGGGGGTCCAACTGATAGGCAGAAGTTCAGAGGCTACGGGCACAATTGCTGGGGGCGGGCGTTTCTTGCTAGTGTCACAGGTGGAAGCGGGAGGGTGTTCACCCTACTCAGTCCTTCCACCAATGACGTTGGCGACTACCCTCCGCCCCCAGCCATCGCTCCGACTGCCTTTAAAGTAGACGTACTCAAGCTGCATTTCAGGCAGAGAGCTATGGTCGAAGAGGAAAATAAAGCTGCAAATTTGGCATCAGTCGTCCTATCGAACATGGGTACAATCAAAGCGTACAATTTGCAAGAGCATTTCTATTCGGTCTTCGCTACCACCTTGGAACCACTGGCTAAGTATGTTCTTTTCTGTTTTATGTGACGGAGAGCGCTTCAAGTGATCTATCTTGTACAAGTTTGCCGTAGTGGCCATAAGAGGTGGATTTTTAGGGCGATGAAGCGACAATCGGTCATCTCTGCATTTGTTTTCGCTTGTCAGTACTCATTTACCTATATTCTTATCGCATTAACCTTGTATTTTGGAAAAGTTATGATGCTCAACAATGAAATCACAGTTTTCGACTATATGAGGTGAGCAGATAGGTCTTCAGGGTCGAGAACCGAATAAATGTGACATTCACGCTCAGGGGGTTAGACTATCACGGCATCCATACCTACTCCTCATCTTTATCTTGCCATTTGGGTGGTGCCACTGCGGGCACCGTTCTCCTCCGTCTCGACTTTTATGTACTTTTGTTCGCTGCGGGTGTTTGGGCGTCTCAGCTGGCCGGGTTTGGTGCTGTTTTCCACCAACCGTTGTCGCTTGCCCGCTTCGATAACTGGTGCAGCACGGGCTGACGCCACGCCAAACCCAGCCTATCTGATGCGCCCTAGCCTCTGCAGCAAAACGGGTTGTTTGAGGACTGCCTCGACCTTGTCGGTTCTCGGAGAAGAGTTATATAATCAGAAAACTCGGACTGAACTATGTGTTAGCACTTTTCTCTGATTACTGCGAGGCTGCTATTCTCATCAGCTCAATGCCTCAACATAGCCAGCGAGTGTTCCAAAGACAAACAAGCATATTTGCAGGGTTGTCTTGCTCACACAGTTCGGTGCAAACTTCTTCTCACAACTAGTGGCATC